CAGCACCGGTGGCCCGTTCCGCCGCAGGCCTGTGCCCCGTGACACGTCGTGCCATCGGGGACCTGCTGTCCAAGAACGGCACCGGCAACGCGGTGTCCCTTGTCAGCGGCGGCGCGGCCGAGTCGCTCTCCTGCCATCCCGGCGTCACCACGCTCATCCTGAAGAACCGCAAGGGCTTCGTCCGCATGGCCCTGCAGCACGGGTGGGTCACGGGCACCGCTGCGGCTGAGGGGGTCCAGGGGTCCCGGCGCCCCGTTACCGCCCACCATGTCCCCCCTCCACAGGGCCCACCTCGTCCCCTCCTTCTCCTTCGGGGAGAATGACCTCTTCCGCCAGGTGGTCTTTGAGGAGGGCAGCTGGATGAGGAGCATCCAGCACCGGTTCCAGAAGATGATGGGCTTCGCTCCCTGCATCTTCTACGGCCGGGGCCTCACCTCTGTCCGGTCCTGGGGCTTCCTCCCCTACGCCAGACCCATCACCACCGTGGGTGAGCATCTTCCGCCGGGGCGGAGGAGACCACCAGAAGGTGGAGGGGTGGAGGGGGAGGACACCCCGTGATGGGTGGCATTGGAAGGCAATACTTGGCTCATGTCCCCGATGAGCTGAGCACGTCCCCGCCTCGCCGGCCTGACCTTCCTCCCCTCCCGGCAGTGGGGGAGCCGGTGATGGTGCCCAAGATTGAGGACCCAAGCTGCGAGATGGTGGACATGTACCACAAGATGTACGTCCGCTCCCTGCTCAAGCTCTTCAACGAGAACAAGACCAAGTATGGGCTGTCGGAGGCGGACGAGCTGCACATCCTCTGAGCACAGCTGGTGCCGGCGGCCAGATCCTGACTCACAAGGGCAGCTGGCTCTTGCGGGTGGGGATTTCAGCCAGCCCGGCACGGGGAACACGCCGGGGACGGTCCCCGCTCCGGCCCTCCGCTCCTCTGGCCGAAAAACCTGAGCAGTAGGTGGGAGGAGAGGAGGAAGCAAGGGGAGGGAGAGATTGGGAAAGGGTCCCCCTTGAAAGGGGTTCAGAGGGGCTGCTTGTGACACAGCCATCCTCCAAGGACACGGGGCTGATGTGGGGGGGGCTGGCGCAAGGCTGGGGGCCAGCAATGGGCACAGTCCCCCCAAGACAACCAGGAGACCATGAGCTGAGGGAGTGGGTGTCACAGGAGGAGGGAATGAGACGGACTCTTTAGGGTGGCATCCCAATGGCGAGCGGGACCTGGGCTGGGGAGACATCTGCCTGGGGTGGGGGGGACACTCCTGGACTTGGGGACCCGTGGAAGTGGCCTCAGCTGGGACCACGGAGTGGGTGGGGGCTGGTGCTGCTCTGGCCCCAGATGAGCCTTTTCCACCGCCTCTGTACCCAATACAGATTTCCAACCCCCCCACCACTGCCTGTGTGTGCTGGGGGGGGCAGGACCGGTGGCGCTGCGGCTGTACCCCCATGCTCCCTGTGCAGGTGGACATGCCACCCACCCATGTCCCCTTCCCGGCAGTCCCATCTCCAGGGCTGGGGCCGTGCTTGGCAGGGACCCTTGCACCGCTCAGGTGCAACCGAGCAGCTCCTGGGTCCACCTGGGCCACGTTCAGGTATAATGGGAAGTGAGGGGCAGCAGCTGCTCTTACTGGGTTAACTGGGCTTAGGAGGGATGTCTCCTCCTCTCTCTGCTTTTGGTTCAGCCGTAGTGAGGGGCTCTCTGGGTACCACTGTCCGGTGAGATGGGGATGCGGGGCTGGGATGTGGCATCCCTGGGGCCCTCTCCCTCCCCAGGTGACCTGGGCAGCTCCTGGTGGGATGTGCCTGCGTGTGGTCAGTGCCACATGGCCACAACCACGGCTGAGGGAACACCCTGATGATGGTATGGGCTTCCCTTCCCTAGGCACGTGCTGGCAGGACTCGTGCCATCATGGGGGGCGATGGGGGCAGCCCCTCCTGGGGCTCCCCATGGTGGGGACAGCCCAGTCCCATCCCTGCCCGGGCTGGCGTGGGAGAGTCAACAGCGCTGATAGCCATCTCTGGTCTGCTCCTCTCTGCACAGGCACTCAGTCAAACAAAAGGGCTGGGTAAACATTTGGAAAGCAAACACCCATAAAGGCAGATTCCCGAGGACTCTTCCGTCACCGTGGGTGTCACCGCTCTCTGGCCCCTCGCTCCGAACCTGCCCTGGCGCTAAGGTGGCGGGTGGCTTTTCTCTGCTCTCAAATGCTTTCTGGGGTGAGGGTGGGCATCTAGTCCTTCTTCCTTCTGCTACGGGGAGAAACAGGTCTGGGCATAGAGAAAGAGGAAGGGGCTTTATTGGGGGCTGATGGGCAGCAAGTGCCCTGTGCCACATCCCTCCCTGTCTCTCCCAAGGCCAGCAGTGTGACAGGGATATCTCTGAGAGCCTCCGCCAGGCACACGGGGGGCCCAGTGTCGGCTCCGTCCCCAGGTTCAGTCCGGTCCCTGCACGTTGCTGTCGAGCAGACTGGAAGGGCTGTGCGTGCCCAGGGGGGGACGAGTGTCCCTTCTCTTTAGTGACCTGTCAGCCCCCCGCATGTCCCCAGGAGCATCCCGGGATGCGACGTGTGCTGCGGGCCAGCCTGCCATCCCAAAATGGCTTTCTCAGCATCCTTCCCATTCCTGTGGGAAGGTGGCTGTCCTGCCCCGAGCAGTACTGGCATCCTCTTCCCATGGCATCCCGGGGCAGGGCTGGGACAAGCCCCATGGCCACCCATCCTCAGCCCTGCGGTCTCTGCCCCAGCAGGGGCAGGTTTGGGGACCCAGGGGTGCCAGGGTGCCCACACGGAGCCCAGAGGGGCTGCGACTCATGGAGACCAGTGACAAGGTTACCGTAACCCCCCATTGGCCCTTCAGCACCCGCCTCTGCTCCGTGCTGTCCCTGTCCCTTGAGTGTCACTGGCAGTGTGGCTGCCACCTGCGACATTGTCCATGGAGGAGGATACCAGAGCCAGGTTGCACATGGGCATGGGCCGGAGCCGCTGCACTGGCCCCCGGCGTAGCCGCCCCCGGTACTTGTCCCCAGCCATGAAGTACAAGATGGGGTCGAGGCAGCTGTTGATGCTGGCCAGGGGCCGCATGATCTTGTAGGTGAAGTTGATGATGTTGAGGGTCCGGCAGTCGGCTTGGAAGTAGCGGGAGGTGTAGTAGATGGTCCGGGTGATGTGGAAGGGCACAAAGCAGACGGCAAAGACGGTGAGCACAATGATGATCATCTTGATGGAGCGCTTCTTGTAGGAGGGCATTCGGGAGCAAGGGCTGGAGAAGCTGGACTTGCTGAGACTCTTGGCCATCAGGCAGTAGCACAGGACGATCACCAGGAAGGGGACCCCAAAGAGGAGGGCCATGATGGAGGAGCTGTAGTGCACGTAATGGTCAAACTCCTCGGGCTTGGTGGTGTCATGGCACAGGGTGCTGTTGCCCTTGGAGCTGGTGGTGACAAAGATGAGGTTGGGGATGAGGCAGATGATGACGACAAGCCAGGCGCCCACACAAATGATGCGGGCGTACTTGGTCTTCACCCACTTCAGGGAGCGGATGGGGTGGCAGATGCCCATGTAGCGGTGAACGCTGATACACGTCAGGAAGAGGATGCTGCTGTAGAGGTTAGCGTAGAAGAGGAAGCGCACGATCTTGCAGAGCCATTTCCCGAAGGGCCAGTTGTTGCGGTTGGCATAATAGTAGATGAGGGTGGGGAGGGAGAGGACGTAGAGCGTGTCAGAGACGGCCAGGTTGAACATGTAGGTGGTGGTGGCGTTCCAGGGCCTCATCCTGGAGATGAACATCCACAGGGCCCAGGAGTTGAGGGGCAGCCCCACCACGAAGACTATGCCATAGGAGACGGGCAGCAGGATGAACTTGAACTCCTCGTTGAAGACGCATTTTGCCTCTGCCACCACGGTGGTGTTTTCTTCTGGCCAGGGAGCCGGCGTCGGTGTCCACAGGGCAACTGGGAACGTCCTCACTGAAGTGGCCATGTTCTCCGAGCCAGATCTAGGGGAGCAGTTAATAAAAGTGCATTAGTCATTGATCCCGACCATTGTCAGGCACAAAGCGTGGAAGGGAGCCAAAGATGCCAGATTTTCCCCCCCTCCAGGAGCTCCGGCCACTTTGATGGTTCTCTGGTTTTTCTCAGCTCGCGCATTCGGGCCTCACGGGGAGCCGAGGGGGACTTGACAAATCCTCCCCTTCACAGCCCCCGCAATGACACCCGTTAATCATCCCTTTGAGCAGCGCGCAGTGACACCAGCACTGCGTGGAGCCGGGAAGCGTGCCTGAGACAGAGGACCGCGCCGGCCCCGCCGGCCAGCAGCCCCACGGCGCGCCGAACAATGAGACCTTTATGAGCAACAGCAGCCCCCGGCCAGTGCCAGCGCAGCCTCTTGGAAGCTGGCTCAGCCTAATTGGCACCATCCTGACAATGCTGCTCGTCCCAGAGGGCTCCTTGACAGAAGAAAGGCGGGAGGAGAAGAAAGGCTTGTCTGGGGGAATATTGTGGCCCGGAGAAATCCTCAGGGGGCTGTTAAAGGAGCCTTTGGGAGAGAGCGTCCCTGGACGGCGAGGGGCCTCCAGCTGCCGGGTGTTCTCCGTAGGAGAGGCATGATCTAAGCCCTGTGGAGAGGAGCTGCACCAGAGCCAAGTCCCAGCCCAAGACAGCGCAAGTTCACAAGGCAGACAGGACGTTTCCCCTCGCACATTGTTAGGATCAAAGGCTGGGATCCGCGTCCTCCTGGCAAATCGGTCCCCGGGGCTGAGGTGCGAGGGCGAGCTGCCAAAGGGTTGCATTCACCTCTCAGGATGTCTAAAGTTCAGAGCCAACTCCTCCAGAGGGAAGAGGGAGCTTCTGCCATCATCGTGGTGTCCAGCAACGGACTGGCGAAGGCTGCCTGCGCCTTGGCCCCTCCACGCCTGCTAGCATCCCTGGTGAAGCAATTTCGGAGTGGCCGCTTCTGCTGGCGAGGACAGATGCTTGGATGAGTAACCTGGGAGCAGGAGCATCTGCCATGCTGCGAGCAGAGACGAGGGTGTAGCCAAAAACCGTATCTGATGGAGGGAGCGCTGGCGTGTCTCCAGTTTCTGTTGGTCCAGAGCTCACCCAGGTGATGGGTGCCAGGACGGAGGAGGACTCGGGGCTCAGGGAGACGACGTGCGTTAGCGGGATGCTGGTGTGGTGGTACGAGGCAGAAGACTGCATCTTCTCAGGCTCCTTCATCCCTTGGCTCCCTCATCATCCCCGTCCTGTTTGCCCCTTGCCTTTGCCACTGAGATGTGCAGCCTGACCGCTTCTTGTGGCAAGCGCCGTCGGCAGGAATATCCCGTAGGGAGTATCCATGCGGTCAGCTGAGCTGCGATCCATCTTCTCCCTGCAGAGCCTCACCTGGAGAAACAACCCTGGCTTTACAGAAATGATCATAAATGAATCAGCAGGCAGATGGGCAGGCGGGTGGCCGCGGGACCGGCCTCTCCGTGCCGCACGCACCTCCGCGCTTTCTGTTTGAGTTGTGGGCTGAGCCACAGCTTTGGGCTCACACCAAACACCCTCCAGCTTCCTTCCCTCTGCAGCCGGCACAGGCAGCTGCCGGGCTCTGTTACACGGATGAGTTCAGAGAACAACAGGCAGGTCCTGATCAAACAGTAACAGTGGGAAGAACTTGCTCTGTTTTCCCAGAACCAGGAGGGGAAAACCAGCTGGTAGGAAACGCTGAGCCTCCGAGCACTGGTGCCAGCTGCGGTCCCATGGGGCTGGCTCTGCCGAAGGGAATGCTGTGCTGGTCATGCTGGTCCCTGCCCAGCGGCTGGGGGTCCCCC